ATCCACCAACATGGTAGGGCCAGAACCCTTTATAGCGGTAGGTCCCCACACCATAAAGGAACAGTTCCGCAAGGATGCAGCAGTGGGTAGGGAGATACATTGGCAAMAACTTCCTGGCTTGCGTCACGCAAAGCTGCTAATGAAGGGTTACAACTTCAGGAGGTTTAAACTCATAATCAATCTCCCAAAGATAAAGTCAGGCTACTGGTCGCCTTCTACACCGGCCATTGCAAACTCAAGAAGCACTTATTTAACATGGGCCTAGCTTCTTGCGCAAATTGCCGGTTTTGCGACTGGGATTCCGAAACTCCAGAACACCTGCTAATGGATTGCCCAGCAATCTGCAGACGCAGGATTAGGGCCCTTGGATCCATGTTTCTAAATAGGGATCACATCGCCTCATTAGCACCTAGCAGAATATTAGAATTCATCAATCTGCTGGGGCTAAGTGAGACGCTGTGAGTTAATAGAGGGCACAATAGACCCTAGGTCGCGGTGCAATCCTCATTCTTTATCTTATCTTATCTTATCTTACAATGAGTAATATTTCCACGTTTTCCGTTCCCACGACAGTCGGGTCTACGAAAACCGGAACGGACTCGGATTTTTATCCGGCCAAGGACTGTCAACTCGGCAGAATTCTGCCGTTACAACAACAACAGTAATATTTTTAAGTTTAAGTTTATAAAATTCTTCTAACATATACACATAATTATAAGTATATAACTATAATTCATTACGCTTCAGAATAGAAGCATATTTTGCAAAAAGAATTTAAGTTAGGATCCGTTGTACTGTACCGTATATATGCATTTCGACATAAGATAAAAGGTTGGCAACTCTTTTTTTAGCAAAGGCAACCACCACATGTGTCAAATTGTCAGAAGAAAACAAGTACTAAACATCTGTAAACTATTATAAATAATGCAACCCTGTTTCATTGCTTTTCTAATCCTAACAGAATTTCGGAATTTTTCCAATCAGACAACAGGGGACATGAAATTTAAGCAGCAAGAGTGAAATGTCAATCAAGGATTTGCAAATTAAGTACTAATAATAATTAAAATATAGTGCATTATTCTAATTAATTGACTTCAGAAGTTTGGTAAAACTGTAATGTTAGTGTAATAAACGAAAAGGGGAATATCGCGGTGAAAACTAAAGTTCAAGGTTTGTGGCTGTTGGCCAAATAAAGCCTATATGTGATACGCTTGTTTTCCAAATTCCACTAGTTTTTGTGAAGTAATAATAGTTGCACTTGTTTTACATAGTTGTTGTGCCGGAATTAGGATAAAAAATTTGGGGAAGGATACAAATCAATTGAAGTTGTTAGTAATGGAACCGCCTTGTACATTTCATCATTGCGATGAGGCTGTGATCGCTACTAACGACGATGCCAGCGATTGTAAACGTTGTGCAGTTCGATTAGGATATTGGAAGGATGACTATATTGGATATTTTGTTCGAAATCAAGATAGAAAAGCGCCAGAGATTAATCGAGGCTATTTCGCCCGAGTTAAAGGCGTCGAAATGTGCATAGAAAAGTTTCTGAAGGTTAGTGCGCTTTGATATGCAAGCATTATTTCCTTTTTATAATACTTCAAAATTATTAAAAATATATTAAACGAAATGTATAATAAACAAAATTATAGTCCACTATGTTTTTTTACTTTAAACGTTATAAGGTTTACTATTTTAAGTTTCGTAAATAATGTCTGTTTGAACATAATTTTTACATTTTAGAAAACTGATGGAAATTGCCAAATCATAAACCTTGGGTGCGGATTCGACACACTATATTTTCGGCTGAAGGACACACCACATCAAGTGAAGAATTTTATAGAATTAGATTTCCCAACGGTTACAGCTCGAAAGTGCTATACAATTAAACGCAATAAAGCACTGCTAGCGAAAATCCATGATGAGGATGGTGAAGTTCGTCTTAGCACAACAGACTTACATGGTCCCAGCTATCACCTGATGGGCGTAGACCTACGAAATCTTGACGAATTAGACAATAAGCTGCAACAAGCAGAAATTGACTACAAACTTCCTACGATATTTCTTGCGGAATGTGTGTTGGTATACATTGAAGCCCAAAATTGTAAGAATTTACTGAAATGGATTTCTAGCAAATTTATCACTGCAGTATTTGTCAACTATGAGCAGGTACACAGTTATCTTTCTAAAGACATTTGTCGGAGGTATATGTAATATTTTTAAATATTACCTTCGATTTCAAGGTCAATATGAACGACAGATTCGGAGAAGTGATGTTGAATAACTTACGCAGCAGAGGTTGTAGTTTAGCTGGTGTTGAGTCATGCATTTCTTTGGACACCCAAATAGGTCGATTCCTGGAATGTGGGTGGAACGGAAGTCGAGCATGGGATATGGTACAGGTTTATCAAAGTATATCCCCTGCAGAGAGACAACGGGTTGAAAGACTGGAGATGCTTGATGAAGCAGAGCTTCTTATACAGTTATTCCAACATTATTGCCTTGTCATTGCTTGGATAGGTGAACTATTTCAAGACATTGAAATAACGTAAGTATTTTTCAATTACATTCGTTTATTTCATTTAGAACTTTTGGATTCCTATTTAGAGTCGAAAAGCGTATGTCATCATTGAACATCGATTGAAGGAGGTTTAGCAGTTACACACAAATTTAATGTGAACCACAAACCCAGTGTAATGCATTGTATGAAATGATGCTACTCGCCATTGCTTAGTTATCCCGGGAGAACTGGATAAACAACTGCTACTTTTGTAAACGTTATTTTTATATTAAATGGAAAGTTTTATGGCTAATTGTGTAATTTAAAATTGAACTATTTAAAATATAGTTTTCCTGTTTGTAAGATATAAGCAATGAAATAAATAATTTATATGTAAAAATTTTTAACCATCCAAAACAAAAAATCCATGTTACAATATTTCTAAGTGTTAACAAAATTTTTCTTATGTTTACTTCCACAACTTCTTAACATCATATTTTTTCTCCATCCAAGTATTTATCTTAATGTGTGCGGTGGTAATCACTTAACAAAATAATCAAAATTAATACTGATTAAGCTGATGAGTTTAAAAATCAATTCGATATAGTATATGTATATGTGTATATGTAAGAGAATATTTTGAAGATAGTTTCGAAAACTCCTTAAATAAAAGTGTTTGCGTTGTAACAGGTGTGGATATTATTAAATTATTTGTGTTTAAGAGCATGTCTATTATTGCTCTAGAAAACATTTCTCTAATTTGAGGAATGCTGTCGAGTTGATAGGGCTTGGCCGCTATGTATTCTAACAATATGTTGCAACTCAACTGTTCAAGAGCGGTTTTCTACATTGTTTTACAATTTGTAGAGTTTGAATACATTGAATACCTTTAAAGAAAATATGATCACTTCAGATAACTTAATAATTAATCAAAACTACATTCGATGTAATTAATTTTGCAGCCTCGTTGAAATTTTAGCCTTTCTTAAGCTAATATGAATCTTTACATGTAAATCGCTATATTACAGTTTTAAAATTTTTTTAAAACGTCAAATTTTGGAGAGAAACATTAAAAAAAACAGATTTTTAACGCTGTTAGGGTGCCTACATAGTGGACTTTCAAAGCAGAGCCAAGCACATACATAGCTGATTTCGATCAGCACGGATCGATTGTTGATGACAATCAAGGGGGTTCAGGGTGTCATCAACTACGCAAAATCTTCCAAATCCATTTGCCCTGATGGAATCAACAAACTAATGCTAAAGCATCTAGGCTCGACGGGAGTAAAATATCTCACCAAGRTCCTCAACCTGTCACTAACCACTCTTCAAATACCCGATGTGTGGARAGTCGGAAGASTGGTCCCACTACTGAAACCTGRGAAACCCGCCAACAAAGGGGAATCTTATCGCCCGATAGGTTTTCGTAAAGGGAAATCCACAATAACTAATTTGCTTGAATTTGTATCACATGTATCAACGGGTTTTAGGGAGAATAAGAATACTGATGTTATATACACAGATTTTAGTAAAGCTTTTGATAAAATAAACCATTCAATTCTTTTGAATAAACTTGATCTTCTTGGTTTTCAAACAATATTTCTAAAATGGGTTGCTTCTTATCTTAGTAATAGARTTCAACAAGTCATATTTAACGATACTGTTTCCGACATAATCAATGTTCCTTCAGGCGTTCCTCAAGGTAGCCATCTTGTACGAATTCTGTTCTTGTTATTTATTAATGACATATACTCTGTTGTTTTTTTTTTTTCAAAAGTTTTCTTGTATACTGACGATGTAAAACTTTTTAAATCATTCACCTCGAATAGCGATGATAGATGTCAGTTACAAACAGACTTAAACTACCAAGTTTCTTGGTGTGTTAGAAATGACATGCCATTGAACCTTAAAAATGTAAAACGATGTGCTTTTCACGTAGATCTGTAGACCCTACTTCATACGTAATACAAAACTTTAGGTTGGAGCAAGTATGCAGTTTTGTTGACTTGGCAGTAACTATGGACCTCAAACTCAATTTTAATCGTCACACATCTTCCATGGTTTTTAAAGCTAAAGGTGCTCTTGGTTTTGTTAAACGTTGGTCTAAAGAATTTAGAGATCCGCTTACCACAAAAATTCTTTTTACATCTTTGGTGAGCCCTATATTAAGTCTCGTTTAGTTAGTAATGGATCAATTCCATTTTAAAAGCACCGTCAATTTGTACGGAGAAAGTCTTATAGTTAAACGAGATCCTAAATGTAGTTTTTTTTATTTATTATTAATTAATAATTTATTAATAACGTATTTTTTTGTATCAAAAATTTGTAAAATCGGTCAAGACTTCCCGTAGCGCTCATATATTTAAATAATAATATAAAACTTGAATTTGTAACCGATGATCTTTATGAAACTCAGAATATTTTTCTGGTAATATGACGTTATATAAAAATCAGGGCAAAATACTAATATACGATTTTTAAATAATTTTTAGAAAACAAAAAAAAAATAAATAATAGATTTTTGCTGATTGAATGTGGTTCAGCAAACTATTTTTTTAATTTTATCTTTACATTTAGTATATTAAATAAGTTATGAACCACTTACATTCCAAACTTAAAATTCATAATTTGCTCCCAACAGGTAGGACATCATGTACTATTGCGGTAAACTGAATTTTACAGCCCTATTCTGACAAAACCTCACAATCAATTGGTTTGTGAGGTTTACTGTCAGGTGTATTTTGTGAGSTTATTCTTTCTCAAACCTCACAATAAAAAGCACAAACCACTTACCACATGAGTTGAAAAGCACTTTCTTGTGAACCAGCTGGTTTACAAAAGCTAACAAAACAAAATTAAGAAATGGACAACCAAGGAAAGTAAATAATTTATTAAATTTGATGCCTATACAATAATTAAATTTTGTTTAAGTTTTTCGAAATGTTAGGAGCAGCTTCACAGCATATTTTTTAAACATAATAGATTTTTGTTTGCACATGTATCAAATAATACATACATACATATTTACAAATAAAATATTGTCTAAATTATTCAAACATAAATTTGTATATTTTTCTTATTCCTACTCAGAAGGAAGGTATTGTTACAGGTAAATGCTTATATTTATAATAGATGACGCTTTTGGAATACTTCCTCCATTCTATTTAAATAAAAGTAATTGCAAATTTATTTAAAAAAAATATTAACAAAACAAACACAACCGATTTGGCATTGTGAAGTAATTGTGAGCATTTGTGCTTTAGAAATTAATCGGGATAGTGGTGATTTTTGTGAGGGCACGAGAATTAGGAATAGAGTATATGTAGGTTGGATTGATCAACTAAATCTGCGGTATCTTTATGTAAATGGATTAATTCCAGAGTACTTTGCCAGACAATATCTTGACTTAAGTAATTTATTGGAAGAGATCGAGACTAACAAAAATACAAGTATAAGGATGTTGAAAAGCTATTGGTATTGGTATTGTTGCTTTGCTCATACGCCTACAGCTACCAGTGGAGAGAATTGCTAATTGGTATTAATTCACCCTACAAGTTATACAAGTTGTGAGCATATTGTTGGAAATTAATTCATAGCTATCCGCTCTAAAGGTGGCTATTGAAATACATTATGAATTAGGATAGTAATTCAGTGCACAAACTGTTCTTTGGGTGCTACGTGATCAGGATTTTAATTATTTGATTTGATTATAAGAAAATATAAGAAGCCTACTTGCTTTCAGCAAGGAGTGTGTCAGCGAGGATTCTGACTTAAAGTAATTTTTAGACGAGTCAAAATTTAATATATTTGGAGAGTTGAAAGACGCATACAAAGCTAAACAAAGATTGAAAGCGAGGACTAAGGTTGTTGTGATAGTGTGTTGGTTCCATTTCTATTCGAAGCGCAAACCAACCATACATATATGGAATCTTCTCATATACTAATTGTGAAAGTTATTGAATGTTTTTGGGCTTTGCTAGACAGAAACATCCGTAACACAAACTTCTAACAAAGCTGAGTTAAAGGAGGCACTCCTGAAGGGATGGCAAAAAGTCACACCCGAAAATATGAAAAAAGTTATCACACACCACATTAAAAATTCAAAAAATAATACATTTTACGATTCTCTGCTTAAAAATATGTAAGCTTTGACGTTAATTACACACACATAAAAAACCTTGTGCTATTAAAAAACTTGACATTTTTTGTAAAATTTATATGAATGAAGTTTTTTAAAAAGCAATGGCAAAACCTCTAACGACATTTCTAGCATTAAATCTTCACTAGGAGACGTCTTAACTTCTTCTTCTTGATTGGCGTAGTCACCGCTTACGCGATTATGGCCGAGTTAACAACCGCGCGCCAGTCGTTTCTTCTTTTCGCTACATGGCGCCAATTGGATATTCCAAGTGAAGCCAGGTCCTTCTCCACTTGGTCCTTCCAACGGAGTGGAGGTCTTCCTCTTCCTCTGCTTCCCCCGGCGGGTACTACGTCGAATACTTTCAGAGCTGGAGCGTTTTCCTCCATCCGGACAACATGACCTAGCCAGCGTAGCCACTGTCTTTTAATTCGCTGAACTATGTCAATGTCGTCGGATATCTCGTACAGCTCATCGTTCAATCGAATGCGATATTCGCCGTGGCCAACGC